TTAATGAATAAATAAAACAAGTCTAGTGTTTCAAATTCTATCATAGAGTTTTGGGAATGGCAAGAATTTTATTTGGAACGTTGTTTCTGCTACAGTTAGTTTCTAATGAAGTTTTCAGTCGAGTTCAGAAGGCAAACACAATAGAAACATTTTTAACGCTGAGAACAATGTTCGAACTAAATTATAACAAATGAAATTTTTTAAAAAAAAAATACCATAAAATGCAAACCATTTTGGGCGTGGTTTATTATTAAAAATGGAAAAAAAGGAGCTAATTGGCATTGTAGAATGTAAATAGTTGTCAATTAATTAGATCGCTAAAAGGAAAATTGGATATATTCTTTAAAAATAAGTTTATGGAGTTAAAAATAAAGCCTTTTAATTTAAAGCTATATTATACTTGCTTATGAGTGACCATTTCTTTCTACAGCTTGCTGCTATCCTATGTAGATCATTAAAATTAGAAGTCAACTCTTTCTAAGTTGTGATTGTGAAAATTTTTAAGTTAGAGAATACTTTGTAAGGATGACTTTCTACGAATTACATGCTATTTGCACAATATAGATTTGCGACAGTGGATCAAGCTCATACTGTCAAGTTTAGTTTATCTTTAGAAAGCGCTGTCAGTCTTATTCCAAAAATGGCACAAAACTTCACTATGGAAAAGCCACAGTTTAGGCGAAAGTTAAAAGCGTTCATGATCAAATATCGTATCTTAAGCCAGTGCCCTGAACGCTAATTCTAAAAATGGCGCAAAACGAAACTGTGGTAAAGGAACAGTTTTGCGAAAATTTTAAGCGTTAGTAATTTAATTTCCAAATAAGCAAAAAATTTCTCCAACGCTGAGAATTATTCAATGATTTTAATAATTTTTATCTAATTGTAAAACTCTCGTCAAATTGGCAATTTTAATTTTTTTTTAAAGGGTAATAATTATTAAAATATTTAAGTTATTTAACCACCCAGATAATTCTTTATGGCAAGGCATCATATTCAGTATATATAGCTTAAAGTTACAGCTTTGTCTTAAGTGTAAGGTACCTAAACGGTGGAGTGTTTAGTTTTTCTTACCGAAAGAGCTTCAAAAAACACTGTTAAATGTTTATTAAACTCAATAAGCTAGATTAGCCAATTTGGCGAGATTTTCTTATCTAAGTGAAAATGATTAAAATCAATGTGTAAGTCTTAAATTTTGCAAATTTTTACGAGTTCAAACAATGCACTTTTTGAGTAACTTTTCAAAATTTTTTTAAATATCAAACTTTNGTCACCATAATACATTAATAACATAAATATTTAAATTTGGTATTGACTCCAAGGCATAGTGCTTTTTTAAAGCTAGAGCAATTGGTACTTGATAGAAATATCCAATTGCATTTACAAATGTTTGTAGTACATAAATATATGTATATAAATATATGTAGCTGTGTGAATATATGTTGACCACTTTTGAGTGGGGGTATTCAAGAGTTAAAAGAAAGTAAAAACAGTTTAAAAAACAGTGAAAGATTTATGCTACTTATTCGAATGAGTGGTATTTCCCCCCAACATTTTTACAGACTCTGTTCTATTATTTAAAATAGCTTACATAACGTTTGGTATCACAACGTTTAGTTTATGCTATCGAATCTCACCAACAAAAATAATAATACATAAATATGTGTTTATAAATATATGTCGATGCATAAATATATGTAAACTCCGTTCAGGAGTTGGGGTATTAATGAGTTTAAAAAAATGAGATACTTTTTTGAATTAATAAATTTTGTTTTACAGTTTTATCCTTTAAAATATCTTTTCGGTTTTACCCTCTAAAATAGCTTCCAAAACGGTTTACATTTCATAACGTTTATTCTATGCCAACAAATCTCGCCAACAAAAACAAATAAATAACTATCTGCCAAAAGTTAATGCTACCCAAAAATAAAATCCCGATAAAACAATTTTCAAAACTGTTTTACCTTAAATTTTATTTTCTGTGGTGTTAATGTCTGGAATTTTTAACTATTACAAGAAACAGTACTCATAATTAGAAATTGAATTAAAAAATTTATTCGACTTAAAATCAGTTTCCGTAAAGTTTTCTTAATTTTTCCAATTTTAGTCAACGATTTTTATTTAATTATCTCAACACTGGAAAACTCGTGAAAGTATTTTTTTTACTGCCAACAAAAATAAAATTGCAATAATGCGATTTCAAATAACATTTTAATTGTTTTCTAAGAAACAAATTATTTTGACCAAAATAGAAGGAAAAAAAAAAAGGTTTATATTTCTCGCACCTCAAAGGCATTACAAAAAACCGTACCGTAAGCTTCTTAGCGTCTTTCGTCAAAGAGATTTAGATGTCTGAGCTCTTGCTTCCTTTTAGTATTTCCTTTTCTATATAGCAATTTGATAAAAGTTAACAGATTATATGAGTTTTATTTCAGTGATAATGGTATTTACAAATCAGTAAAAAACATACTTTTTTTAAGATATTTCAGACTTATATTTCTAAGAGCAAAAGTTTAGTAAAATATTTGTCTTTGCCCTAATTCTTTTTTTCTTGTAAATAGTTTTAATTATGTTTTTGCTTCAATGTCACATAAATTGATTTCCGTTCAAGTAAAAAAAAGGACAAATAAAACATTTTTAATAATTATATAAAACAGAAGTATCGTGGTCATGACTCAATTGCCCTTTCCTATGGTTTTATTTACCATTCATTAAAAATTAGATACATATTTTGGACTAATGGCAGTATAAAGGTATACCTGCAAATAGTTCTGCCATGACATTAAAATATTATCTATAACACTTAATTTGTTGTATGAATTGTATTGGTCATTTACATGGTTAACTTCTGCTAATTTATAGGGACTAACTGCAATCAAGGATCTATGGTCTTAATTGTTAGGTTAGGAGAGCGGAACGAAGTTTGGATTCCTTAATGTTAATTTCACTTTTCTTGTTTTTCTTCATATCTCGATTTTTCTTAAACAAATCGAAAATTTTGTACAGAATGATATAATTAATTTATCTTAATCTTAAGACAATCCTGCGGGAAAAATAATTATTATTAATTATTATTTTTAATTTTATTTAAAAGTAGTCGAAGAAATTTTGAAATATAAGGTATAGAAATTTTTACTTCGCTTTAACGAATGTAATTTTATATCGCAAAATACAAAATTTGAACGAAATTGGTCAAAATCGGTCTAGCGAAATCGAAAAGTCGGATATTTAAGACTCGAATTCTCAGGAACTATTCGATCAATTTTGTATTTTGCTTCAAGAAAATTATATTTTTAAAATGATTTAAAAAAATTTGTATACCTTATATCTTGGAGGAATTCTTACAAGTATTCAATGAAATAATATAAAATAATAATAAGTATTTTTTGAATGGTACAACAAGTATTATTGAATGGAACAGTAAGGAATATTGAATGGAACAGTAAGGGATCCAAACTTTAGACTGCTTTCCCGACCAAACAATTGGGACCATATTTCCAAGATTGCGGTTACGACCTAAGAAGGTCAGAAATTTGAATCTGACAAAAAGGACCTATGTATATACAGACAAAAGTATGTTTTTGTGTCTGATTTTGTAACATAAAATATTGTCTGCACTTAGTAATTAGTTTATTTGAGGCCATTCCTTCGAGCCGTTAATATTGAGTCCTAGTACATGAATATTCAATCATTAGATCATAAGTTATTCAGGATGGATTTTTTGCTCACTGTGCTTTATTAAAATCTTATTTATCTCTGCTGGCAATTAGATATTTTATTTTACTATCATCAAGTTGTAGTCCCATCTAATTTCTATGATTAATGTATTGCTAAATTTGATTAACTCTTTGTCTATATCAATTAGAAAAATATAGCCTAAACATATAGTTAAATATTAGTACAATTTTCGTCTCAATGAGGTTCAATATTTAAATTTAATAAGCATAACTATCTATCAATTCGGTTAAATGTTACTGATGATTTCAAATGAGCTTTATAAATTTTTTTAAATTTACGATTTTCCTTTTTTCTTTTTAATAATACCCTTTAAAAAGTTCGTTTGAAATGTTATTTATTTCAAGAGGAAAATACATTTTTAAAGTATTTTATAATTTTTAATATATCGCATCAGAAAAGTTCTGGGTTCGAACCTCGGATAAGGCATTGATGTTCTTTCCTTCTCTGTACTATCTGTCCTTACTGAGACAGCAACGTTGGTCTACCTTATATAGGGCCCCTGAATGAGTGGCCAACAAATCTGGCCAAATACGTCTAAATTGACGAATTTTTTTTAACGGCAGGCACTGAATTTTCGTTCTTCNCTGTACTATCTGTCCTTACTGAGACAGCAACGTTGGTCTACCATATATAGGGCCCCTGAATGAGTGGCCAACAAATCTGGCCAAATACGTCTAAATTGACGAATTTTTTTATTATTTTTTTTTAACGGCAGGCACTGAATTTTCGTTCTTCACCTCGGAAGATGTCGGAAGTGTTGCTTATTTAACGTTACCCAGTGGGCACCTGGGAACCAAAGTCACAGAGGCGAGCAACATTACCCACGCCACACTGCTACAGATACCCATTCATAGGGTGAGTCACATTCATACACCACACAACAGAGAACAGCACACAGAGAGGACAACGTCCATGCCCTGAGCGGGATTCAAACTCGCAGCTACTGACTTCACAGTCATGCACGCTGATCACTCGGCCATCTGGCCGGCGAATAGACGAAATGTCAAACCAGGTGGGCATTGGAAAAAAAATTAAATCGGTGCACATTTGAAATCTACTCAATATTTTAAGTTAGAAGGAAATAGCAATTAAAATTTTTATTTTAAACTAGAAATAAATAAAGATTTAAAAAATAAAAAAAATGACTTAAAGGACTAAAGTATTTGCCTAATTCAACTTATTCTTTCTGTAGAATGCTAAGTGAGAACATTAAAAAATTCCTTTCATTGTGAGATATTTTGAAAAAGAAAAAGAAAGAAACTTACTGTTTAGGTCATTGATTTCAAATTTCAAGAGCAAAGGGTCACCAACTTGTGCTGTGTAAAGATCTCTTCCAACTTTATCGGTGACTTTCATTGTGACGTTAGGAGCTCCCACATTAACAGAGTGACTGCCGTATGTGTTCACATCACTGAAAAGACGATAAAATATTTTAGATTAAAATGTCAGAAAAAAAATCACCAATATCGTATACATTAATTTCAAGCTGAATAAAGTGATAAATTGAAGTAAGTTCAATTAAGTTTAAGAGTTAATGAAGTTAATAATTAAATTCAATTAAGTAAATCTTATTATTAAGTTTAAGAGTTGTGGTAATATGGTTAAATTTGTCATCATATCATGCTGTAAATTTGAATAATATTATCGTTTAATATGAAAAATAAATATTTCAAGACAACTGTAAATGTTTTGACGACTAATAACAATAAGAAATAAATAACTATTGAAAGTTATGTATATTGAATAAGTTTTCAATAAATAACTATTAAAAGTTATGTATATTGAATAAGTTTTCAATAAACAAGTTTTATAATGGCGTGCAAAAGATTTTTGATTAGCTTGAGATGTAACTTAATATGGAAAAAAGTGAAATTAGTATTAGGGGGTCCAAACTATGAGAGTTCTCCTAATTAAACTGTAGGAATCATATTTTACGGATTATAACTACCCTAATGTTTCAAATCAACATTTTAAAGCAAACATTTCAAACCGTTTAAAGTTAGTACTAATCATTAAAACAAAAGTTAGTCGCGGTGATTTAATCGCTAAACAGATAAAAAAATATGAACACAAAGTTGAAACTATTTTATTATTTAAAAAAAATAACTGAATAACTTGATTAACTATTAAATAAATTTTAAAAGAACTATAATTTTATTTAAAAAAAAAAGCCAGAATTAAATTCACATAGTCACAATCTATAATGAAACTCATAGTGATTAGTAGGATCGTCGCGTACCTTTACTGTAGTTCATTATCGATTGCAATGTATAATGAGTCATCGGGTACCCTAATCGTAGTTCATTATTGATGGCAATGTATAGTAAGTTATCGGACATCTTAATTGTAATTCAATATGGATGGTAATGTATAGTAATTACATTCATTACTTACTATGCAATTGCGATAAAATTTACACTAAAAATTACTATAAAAAGCTATAAAAGTTTATTAAAAACCTGAGGTTTAAGAAAAAAGTTTTTTCCTCAACCTTAGTATTTAATGAGGACTTAAGAATAAGGGTTCATAAGTAAACTAACGTTGAAAGGAAGCAAAAAGTATAAATAATTTGATAATTTCAATAATATTTTGTATTCATCTATATAAGTATTAGATAAAATTCACAATAATCCTGCTTCGACAAAATTTTTCGCGATTTGAAACTCAATTTTGATTTTATTTCAAACTAAAAAGAAAAAAAAATTAAAAGAATTTTTTTCGCCACATTTCAAAATAGATTTATAAAAAATCAAGGGAGAAAACAATAGAAATAAAGAAACAAATCATTATCGATGCAAGAGTTGAGATAGTTTCCTAAAACCCATTGCTTTTATTTTATTATTTTCTTTCTTACAAAATAATATGCATCCTTTTTAAACAATATAGCATGTTCTAAACTTTAAAACAAATTATATTACTTTTTCTGAAAAAAAAACATGAATAACAAAGTTCGATTTTCATAAGGGAAATAGTTTAAGATTATGAAAATAAATAAAAACACTTATTTTTGAGAGACCTTATATAAAACATTGTAAAAATATATTATAATGCATTTTTTTTTCAGTTTTAAAAGTATACATCTGCTATAATTTATTTTATTTTTAATAATAAATAAAAATATGCTTTAGGCACAAATCTTTCAAAATTTTCAACTAATAGAAATATTGAATATTTTGTAAAAACATTGAAGTATAAATCTAAAAGTAAATATACTACGTTAGTAAATTTCTAACTTTGATTCAAAATAAACAGATTACTAATCTTATTCATATTTAGTTTTAACTAGTACATAAAAAGAACTATATATTTTGTCTCTTTATTATAAAATGTATTATGAGACATTTCAAATATTCGATACAAAATTTAAAATAAATCTTTTAAAAATGTTGACGTTTTAATTATCTCAGTATATATATAT